TGGTTTTCCCTTTTTTTTCCCTTTTTTTCTTCCCTATGGTGACAGAGTAATAAATTCGGTGCCTTGGTCAGGGACCCTCCCCCTTCCCCACCCCCCTCCGGTTTAAAAAGTGGGGTACCTTGGCCAGCGCAGAAAGAGAGGGGTTGGAAGGAGGGAGGGGGCCGGGCGCGGGGTAAAGCGGGCGATAAAGTGGTACCTTGGTCAGGGAGGATGCTAAAACTCGTCTGAAAATCAGAAATTAATTCAAAAACTATAATAAAAGGAGGACGATAATTTCAGAGAAAGGGGGAAAAAAATCGAAAAAAAGAAAAGAATTAAGAGAAAGTAGTAGTGGAACCACCATTACGGTAATCTCCTTTGTTGAAATATTCCTCCCATGTATCGATGTATATGTGACTATTGATAGCTCCTAAGGGCCTAGTTTGCACCGCTTTCGCCATCGGCTAAAATTCTGAACGAATCTGAGCAGGATTTTTGTCCTGATGCATTCAAAATTAATTTTGGCGGATGGCGAGTAGTGGATCTAGGCCCTAAGAAAAGCCAAACAGGGGTAAAAAATAACACGAGTTAGAAATGGAAAAGAAACTTAGAAAAGCCCGAAGAAAAGAGGACTCTTGGGAAAGAAAGGTGACTACCGTGATGGTGGTCCCCTACCATCTGCGTTCTTTTTGTTTTCGTCGCGTCCGTCTTTCCGGTCGATGTTTTGCTTTTTATACACAGCCGGGGTTAAGGTGGATTATCACTTACAGTGTAATCAGTTAGGTGATTCTGCAGACTGTTGAGGGTTCAGCCTCCTGATGAGTCGGTGAAACTCCGACGAAACAGTTTGCCACAGCCCCTCGTTTGTTGTCCTCTTCTCCCTCTCTGCCTACGGTTTACCGGGCAGCTCTGTTTGACTATATATATGTATTATATAAATTTGGACTATTTCTCGATTTATGCGGGTCATCCTTGTTGCAGGGGCCATGCTAATCTTGTCCTCTGTATTATTCCAATTTTAACGGATGTCCTGAAGGACGGGTTTTGTCTCTTTTACCCCTTGGGAACGAGCATTAGCATCTCTCTCTCTCTCTCACACATTCTGTGTGTCATTGTCAAAATCCTCGTTTCGAAAGGGTAAGGGTTTGGCTTTTTTTTTGGCCATTTCATATTCTCGGAGAGAGAATGATGCAAGGGAGAGGGAAGTAGGAAGTGGCAGATTTTGCTTTTTTTTTTTTATAATTCTTGCCTGTTTAATGTATGGAAGGAAAAAAAAAGACTTTTACTTTGTTCTCTCTTTTATCCCCAAAAAGACGACTTGATGGAGGCGGAGGCCGACGGCGATGATGATGATGCTAATGATGATGAGGAGGAAGAGGAGGCGGACGAGGGGGAAGAGAGTACCCAATGATGGGGAGGTGTTGATTGGTCAGGGATCGATTGAATGATGGATGTCCCTCATTAATCAGGGGAGAAGATGAGGATGAGGATGCAGAGAAGAGGAGGAGAGGAAGATGAGGAGGAGGAAGACGAGGAGGAAGAGGAGGAGGAGGAGGAGAGGAGTAAGACGAGGAGGGGAAGAATAGGAGCAACGATGGGGAGACGTCGATTGGTCAGATGTCGGTTGTTAGATGGATGGTCATCATTAATTAGAGAAGAAGATGAGGTTGAGGA